CATACGAGAGGATAAATAATTACGAAAATGCGAGTCTACTTGAAAGATACTGTGACCCTTCCACCTTTGTTTTCATCAAGCCAGCTAGTGCTCAAGCTACGTGTCCGGAGCAAGAAGGAAAGGAGGGAGGGGAGCAACGAGGTGCTTTTCCTTTGCCTTCTTTCCCCGCTTATCCCTTAGCCGGTCTTTTACTCTTTTCTAAAGTGCAGGCAGGTCTTCAAAATCTCTTTTATCTCTCGAGAAATATTAACTCTTAGCCTCGACTGTGGTCCTCGCCCGATCTCTCCAATGCAGGCTTCCCTGAAATGCAAGATCAGCCCTTTCTCAGCCGGATCTCCCTCCGTGCCGCTGTCGGGGGAGCAGAGGGGAGAACCCTTCGAGTTTCTAACAGCTGAGACATCAGATCGCCCCCCCACCGCCTTTCTGTTCCACAGCCGGGCGAAGCATAGGCCCCTGTGTTGCGTCAAGCGGCCACTCTGCTCCCAACTTGCTGCTGAGATCTTGTCTCTTTCACGAGGCTGATCTGCACGGACAGATCTGCTCTGAATCGCTCCTTCTGCCGGGGGGCGGCAAGCAGGGAGGATTTCTCTTTGCTATTTATTTCTTGCCCACGGAATCCGGGCTGGTAATTACTGCAAAGAGAGGGAAAATGCAGCTTCCCCAACTCCTGCCTGAGATGCTCTCAGTGCTGTGTGCATGCACAAGGCAGTTTCAGAACCAGAGAGCTGGTGCTGATGCTGCTTTGCTCGCTTGCAATCACCTCGTCCAAAAGCATCGCCTCGGCTGGGTTTTCCCCCGGATTCTGCCTGTTTTACCCTTTTCGGGGGCACTAGCTTTTGGGGAAAGAGCGATCGGAGAGATCGCCGGACTGCAAGTTGCTTAAAATCAGGTTGGAAGTGGGCAGGGGGGAGGGAGGCGCCTTTGGCAAGCGCTTCCATGGTGCATCTCCTGCTAACTGGGGTCTCCCCCAAACCGCGGCGGATCCGTGCGCCTCCCCCTCCTCCTCCCTCCCTATTATTTATGGGGTGATCCCAGTAAATCCCACCCTCCCCACCTCGAAATAAGCCGAGGCGCCCGGTTACAGAGCATTTAATGAATCGCTCCGAAGATTTTTTGTTTTATGAATTAATCTCGATCAACTAGGACACCCGTATTTTTTAAACACAGCTATGCCCTGGAAGGAGGGGAGGGGGAGAAAGGTGAGGGGCGGAGAACTTTTAGGAAGTTTTATTCTATTTTTATTTTTCCATTAATGAAATAAAAACCACCATACAGTTATCCGAATAAACGTGTGATCTGCTCCGTTAGGCAAAAGTCGATTAAAAAGTTAGGCTAGTAGGCGACGGTGAATATTTGAACGTCGGGGGGACCAAGCGGAGTAGGAAAGGGGGAAAAGGGTGTTTATTTCCCTCACTACATATATATCTAGAGAGACACATATATACACTCACGGCGGGGG